ATTTAGCGGAAAAATCTTAAAGAGTGGCTACAGTCTACCCCCACCCTCCGCTCCTCTTTTTCAAGTTACGCTCGACTGTCCGAATATTCGCCAGTTTCCAAGTATGCGGTTAGTTAAGCTTTTACTGTTAAAAGATGACTGCATGAAGCAATAAATTTCTGTCTTCTGATTTCAGAAATGTTCCTCTTTTTTACTTAAATTACTTTGCTTGCAATATCTGTTAAGAGAAAACTGATATATACAATGAAAATTTAGAAAATGTTCAGAATTTAGATTTAAATTATTTAAATATTAATATGAGTGGAAAAATAAATTGTATTTATTATTAGGTTCCAAGCAAATACAATAAATATGCCTTATTATTATTTATTTTCTCTATTTTGAACTGAAATTTCATCATTAAATCTTGTAATACAGTTTAGTTCTGCAGAGTTTTTTTTTTCTCTCATTGTAAACTAGATCTGTAAATTGAACTTTTATTTAAAATTGAAAACAAAAAAAAAAGTAATTATTTTCCATGGTTGAGGTAATGCTTATTCTCTCTTAATAATACTGCATTTCTCATATTTTAAATTACAAGTCTAATTAAGGTTATGCAGTTGTGTATAATGTTCATTAGACAGGTGCTTATTTTTTTTTCTTAAAATGTGCTTGAAAAGTGCTTATAGGTGCTTATTTTTTTAACTAAAATGTGGCTATGAACCCTGTAAACCCTCATAGGTACATTTCTGGAGAGGTTGAGAAATTAGGAGATAAAGCATGCAGAAACTAGCGAGTGCATTGATTTCCATATTGAGACAAATCTCTAACTTTTAGAAAAGATGCTTAAAGAGAAAGAAATTGATATAAACTAGCCAAAGTGTCTGGAAAGGCTACAAATTAAAGTGACGAATAAATATTTTAGATATATATTAAAAGCTACAAAACATAAATGTTTTATAGCTTTTAATGTGTAATAATTATAATATCGTTTAAGAATCTGTGTCATAAATTACATGTATTTTAAACTGTGAAATGTTATTAAGATTGTGATTTTAATAGGGCTTTTTAATAAATATTGTTAAAAAATAAAGTAAAATTTAATAGTGGTCAATGTAATCCATAATGACTAAGGTTATCTAACTACCTAATTTAATTATTTATAACTAAGCTGCTCTACCCTTAAAAATTATCCTCTCGCATATTAAAGCGAGTTATTGCCTTTTCATTAATCCTTATCTGTGGTCACAAGATACAACACAAAAATGTAAAAATTCATAGTAAAACTTATTCTTCATGTATCTAGTGAGACCTCAAAATAATACAAAACAACTTTGCATCACTCTGGTGCTTTAGTGGCTTATTGGAAACCTTAAAGTATATTAACTGGGTTACAACCCCTGGAACTGTACTCGAAGCTACGACACTAACTGCATCAAACAGAACCTGAACTAACTTTCAACACTTGCCAACTGTGCCTACATCAGGCCTTTCAAGTTTGTTCTAATCAACAGGTTTTGTGTGTGTGCTTGTTTTTGTTACTGTTTACAAACACATAAAACTTCAAAAATGATTCTAATCTTGCCACGTAGGCTGTAAAAAGAAATATGTCTGTTAATTGAGATACTGGAAAATAGCAGTTTGAAGGATTCATCATATGTACCTATGTATCTTTGTACTCCACATATCATTTCATAAAGATTCATGGAGTTAGTTTCGGTATTGATATTATTAAAGAAATAAAATTGGCTCTTTTTTGGGGGGTACATCTTAAATACATGCAAAGTTAGTTTCGGTATTGATATTATTAAAGAAATAAAATCGGTTTTTTTTGGGGGGGTACATCTCTTAAATACATGCAAATTTTTTAGAACATCAAAAATGTTTAACTAAACTGAACATTCAGATATGAAGAGGAAACTTCCTGAGGAAAAAATTGATTATATGATTTCATATGTATTGTTTAGCTCATGAAGCAAAGACTAATAGAAATAATGATTTGTTTATTAAAGGAAATAAACTTAGAAAAAAATTAAAGAAGAAGAAATGGGTATAAATCTTAAGTGGCCAGAAAAACTTCAAGTTAAAAAAAAAATTATTTTTTGGTATTATATATGCTTTGTAGTTTTATAATGTATATTTTTCCTTATCTATTAAATTGTAAAATTTCAGATTGTAATTTTAATAGAATACTTTTTAATGAATTTTTAAATAAGAATTTTTAATAATGAAAATTTAAGTCTTTTAAAATATGTGTGTGTGGCTATTGTAAGTTTAAAATGTAAAATTTATAAAAATTTTATGATTTAGTGTTAGTTACTTGGTACTTTTACAGAGTTGGTTTCATTCTCAAACTAGTTTTATGTTAAATATTTGATTCTTTTTAATAATAAAAAATATGCTACATACACTTTTATTTTATTCTTTTAATGAAATTACAAAAGTGAAGTTGATTATATAAATAAATTGCTTTAATTTATTCAATTTCCATTGTCTGATAAGTTCATGATTTTTTTTTATTAATAGTCCTTAAAAATACTTAATTTTCATGTACAGAAATGTGCATGAACCTTGTAAAAAGGAGTTCAAACAATCCTATTTCACACTTGTTAATAAGTGTCGTTTTATTATTATAATCATATGTGATCAGTATGATCATTATAATCATATGTGATCAGTATGATCATTATAATCATATGCGATCAGTATGTATGTCACAAAATTCATTTGAAATCTTAGATTTTAGTACATCAGTTCATGTGTTCATTTAAAAAATGCTATACTTTTATTATAAACTGGGTTGTTATTTGTTCTTAATTCCTGCTGAAAAAAGTTGGTTTGATAAGATTGTTGAATTAATTAATAATGAGAATTTAGTCAACATTGCAATAACAAATTGGCAAATATACAAATTGTGAAAATACTCTTTGAAGTATTTTCGTAAGATGTATGCACTATTCTTTAATGGAATTTTACCATCGGAAATTTTTAAATATAGAAATTAAAATAGAAATTTTAAATATACAAATATAGAAATAAGTACATCTATAGGTTTATATGTATTTATATGCTATATATAATAAATTTTCTTTGAAAATTGTTGGTATTTATGAATAAAATTTGAATAAGTTATAATAAAATGTATAAGTTGATTGCCAAGTAAGGTATCTTTTCATATGTTATTGCTAGTGATTCATGTAGGAGATGGCCTGCACCTGCTTTTAGCAGCTTCAACTGTCATATGCAAATGAATATAGTTTCTTTTTTCTGTTAAACCTCTATTTTTTGTTTTGAATACTATCTTTGAATTTTGTGTTAAGCATAACCATCCAATTTTTGGTTGTTCCCAACATTAAAAAAAATGTTGAAAAGTGAACTTTTTTTGTTATGTGAAGCTTAAATTTGAAATAGTAAAGTGTTAACAGCTAAGAAAGAAAATGAGAAAAATGAATTTCAGGCTTTGAAAAATGTGCAGCAATAAATAATGACTATACTGAAAAATAAATATGTAATATTTTAAGAAAGGTAATTTTCCCTCATTTTGATACCAGTTTTATTTAAAAAAATTTTATAAACTTATCTAATAGCATTAAATTTTATATGATCATTTTGTCCTTGCAATTAATTGCTCTAAACATACTTCTCTATCTCTGTCTAATGATGTTTCATCATTTATCCTATCAGCCATCCCTCTAGAAATGCTTTCAGTATTATGTTTGTGTAACAAACTCAAATAAATTATACAAAATTAAATAAGTTTGAAAAAAAAAGTATAACTAGTATAAATTTCAGCATAAATTATGCTTGAGCATGTCTTGTGTTACTTTTAAAATAGATTATATTTCTTACCTGCACCGCTTCTTCCATATTTTTTAACTTTTTGAAGACGGGATGGCCATTATAGTGGCCTCTCTTTGAAAAGACGGGGTTGTCCACTTTAGTGGCCATGTCTTTTCCTCCCATTTTCCAGGCTGAAAAGTTGGGAAAAATGTCAAATTTGACGTCCCTAGGGTTTTAACCACTTATCTCTTTCAAAGGTCTTCCTTTTGCGACATAGATGCACTCCTCTGAGAATCCATTAAACTACACACAAGAATCTTTGTTGCAAATAGGAGGTGATTTTTTAAAGGGGGGGGAAAGCATTTGGTTAAAGATTCCCCTTCCTTTGGTAGCTTTTACTGCTACTAAAGCTCCGGCCTCAAAAGGTTAATAAATGTAACATTGAAATTTATAATTCAAGAACATTTATTTAATCTGAATAGTCATTTTGATACATGTTTATTTAAAAATTTATTATTTAAAACATTTTTCTCATGTTTAGGATGCAGGCAAAACATAGTTTGTTATGGAATAAAAATATGAAGCATATAACTATATTAAAACATGGTATAATATCCATATATCAGGATGACATAAAATATAGTTTCTTTAGGATATTCTATTTAATTTCTTATTGCATCATGCTAGTAAGACTTTCCTCTTTCAAAAGATGTTTTAATTTTATTTTTATGATAAATTTAAAATGGGTAGCAGACCTGGGGGGAACTGGATTTAAACTTGTTTCATAACTTTTAAATTCTTATGGTAGAATGTTACTAATGTGAAGGGAATAATCATAATTTTAAATTACTTTTAAAATTAAACTTTTTAGTGATTTTAATGGTGTAAATATAATGATTAATTTTTTAATTGTTGGAATATTAAATTTTCATTTCATGTGGTATATCTAAAGCAATAAAAATTTTAATTTTACTATGTTAGCAAAAAAAGTGTAATAAACTGTGAATCAAAAGTAGTTAAATTAGTAATTGTTTTAAGAGTAGATCATGGCAGCTTTGCTTTAATTTCATTATTGTAATGATGTCAGTAGTTGCAACTTGATGTTCTGATTATATATTGTATTTGAACTATTTAAGATTATTTTCCAAGTTTGCAAACACTTGCATTATGTAACTGATTATTTTGTTATTTATTTCCATAATTACTGATATTAATGAATAATATTGAACTTTACATTTTAGTCTGCATTGCTCATCCATTTGCCATTTGTTCAACAAAATTCTGATGATTTACTTCATCATAATTCCCAGCAGCAATCAACATGTCATCCTCTGGACTCAAACTATACTAGTGATGTTTTAAGGTATATTTTTAAATTTAACTTTTGACAATTTTGCTAGGAAATTTTATTTAGTCTAGATTTGCTTTTCATAAGTTCTTGATTTTTTTTTTTTTTTTCATTATTGGTTATGTATTTTCAAAGCTTTTTTTACTAATAATCTATTATACAAAAATGTATTTTTTTAAATAAACTGGACTTTTGAGAAGCCGAATGACTGAAGACACAAAATGCTAACTGTTTAATTCTCAGCAAATGGTCTGTCTAGGTGTTCCTGTTTTAACCCATGTGTAAATTGTTTTATAATTTTAATTTCCGTATGGAGTATGATTTATCATTTTAATTATATAGTATGTGTGTTCTCTAGAAAGTCCTCTGTGAAGGCATTCCTTCTGTCAGGCAGGTAGCTTTTAAATGTTTTACTAATCAATTAAAATATAAATTGTCATAAAACTAGAATTGTAAGTTATTTGATTCTACTCATATCTTCACAGTTTTCTGAAAACAAATTAGGACATTTTTTATTGTAATATAAACAATCTTTACGTAATCATCTTCGAAGTAACATCTATGGAACCGACACATTTGTTCCTTTGCTTCTTGGGGAACATTCACATGATTTTCTAGCTGTTATTATTATATAGTTGTTATATAAACAAGTGGGCTTTATAATGTTGGATAGTGTCATCTTATTTAGACAGAACAGTCGGGTCAGAAATATAGGAATAATATGAGAAACTAATCTAAAAACTCCTCTCTTTGTCAAGTGGCCACGTTTCAAAATGGGATAGTGTACTGATTAATGGAAACATGCTTCAGTTCTGCATAAACTATATTGTCTAAAATCATGCTACATACATTTCTTCTATAGAAGGTACAGTTATGCCTTCTAACAGCCAAATTCGATTATTGCAGATTTCACACATATGATATGAATTTTCCATACCATTCATGTGAAACAGTATGGAAGTAGCATGGAATGTGTGGAATAAATGTCACAAAATATTTTATAATATTCTATAGATTCTTCTGTTATATTGTTAAAATAGACAACATATATCAAATATACAATAATTATGCACAAATTCTTTGTACATAACATCTTAGGTATTTAAAAAAGAATGGTGGAAAATCTGTTACCATAATCTACACAGTTTTTTTTTCACTGTGTGTCAAATTTTTGATAATGAGTAACATTATAAGTTGCATGAAAAGTTCTTGACCAGCTGTTAAAAATCACACTGATGTTGCTAATATAGTACCAAGAAAGTTTTTTAGTGTATATGTTTCCATTTCTTGGAAAATACATTGTCCTAAAATTTTTAACTGATGTTGCATATATAGTTTTAACTGATGTATAGTATATATAGTTTAAACAACTAAACTGAAAATCTAAAGGATAATTTTTTCATACTTTAATATAAAAAAGTTTTCCTCCTTGAAATAAAGAAATAACAAATGCAAAATCATTAATTAATTTTTTTTTCTTCATGTAATGCATTAAAAGTATTAAATATTTATTTAATTTCAGTTATATAAAACAAGGAATTTTTATGAATTTTTGACAGATGTTTTCTGAAAATATTTTATATTTTCTAATTATTTAAATTTTTCCATATGCTTAATTCTCATTATTTATTTTAGGTTTGTATTAGAAGGATACAATGCATTATCTTGGCTTGTTCCGGATCCTAAATATCATGATAGACGTTCATGTTTACCTCTTCATATACAAATTTTAATGCAGCTGTATAACATTGTGGAAGCAATTTTGTGATATTAATCAGTAGGTTCTGTAATATGGTATTTTGAAATGTGTACAGCGGTTTCTCAAGTTTTTTAGTGGCAAATATTTTAAAAAGAGATGTTTTTATGAAACAGATATGCTGTATATTTATGGCTGATATTATGTAATATATTTGAAAATTATATAATCTATTTTTAAAAAATTATTATTTATTTGGCTGTTTAAATTGCTTTTAAATAACTTTTTAAAAGTGTAGATGCTAAGTCAGTGAGGTAAAATTGATTATTACTCTCAGGGTATATCCATTTCAAAAATTGGTTTGAGAAATATGTTGCTGCTTATAGGTATATGATATTCAATTCTTAATAAAATTACCATAAATTACTCAGAGTTGCTATTAGAGTTTAGAAAATATATTTTTCGAATGTTAAATAAAATGTATATAACTGAAGTTATATTTTCAAACATTTATTTGTAAAACTTGTTGCTGATTTATTGTTATCTGTATTGATTTGTTTTGCTGTTAAATGTATTGTTATTTTGTTAGTTAGCTTTTGCCATTAACTCGATTTTATTTTATATTTCTCATTGAAAGAAACTGTGTATTTGAAATAATTTAAGGTTGTTACAAATGACAAAAATGTGCCAGTGAATAGTAATAAAACTGAATCAAATAATTTTCTTCTTTACCTTTATTAAATGATAAATTATGTAATTGTTAAAATGTTTAATATTAAGTTAATATATATTTCTGTATATTATGTTAATAAAGTGTAAATATATATTTTAAAAATACAGCCAACCTTAATTATTAAATAGAAGAAAATCATTTTATGTATGAAGTCTTAGAAAATTAATCTTTAGCAGTGAGCACTGAAAGCAATATATTTAATTTATCCATAAACTTAAGTTGCATTAGCTTAATTTTGAATTTAATTAAAAAATAATAAGACCAATTTCAAATGAAATTAATTGAATCTCATTGAGTCAGAAGTATAATAATTTCCTACATGTCTATCTTTATCATATTGTTTATTAGTTTGCTGAATAAGTAGAAAATAATGTAAAGATATGAAAATTGTTGACAATTTTTAATACTTTAGTTTGTATTGTATTCAGCAGACTCATCACTTTTAAAAATATCATCTTTGATTCCCGTGATGGTGTAGACAGAAAATTAAACTTCTTTTATTGGAAGCTGCACTGTCCTTAGCAATAAAGGTTCTGCCTTACGGATTGTCATATTTAAGTATATGGTATTAATTCTGTTTACTACTTTTTTATAATTTTTATGTTAAGTCAACAACATGTAATGTTTAAATTCAAAAGATTTGATTATATTAAATGCATGTATTAAAATATTCTAGTGATTTAAGTATTTTATAAAATTCAAAAATTATTTAACAAAAATAATATTGAAGACCACCTTTACATATAAAGGTAGTTTTTCAATACTAAAGAATATAGTATTTGTATAATTGTAAAAATTGTATAGTATTTCTTTTTATATTATTATTTCTGTTTAAGTTTTCAATTATTAGGTACTTCATATATATATAAGGTAAAGAATCAACAGGAATGGGAATGTGATATGGATCAGTTGGGAAATTAAGAAATAGATTGTAATGAAAGATCATTAAATAACTAAGGTTGGCTATGTTAATTCTGTCATTAGCAATTAAGGGGGAAAAAAGAAAGTTTTAAGTCAATAATATATATTCAATTTCTATATAATGATGAAATGAACTGAAATAAATACTTCTAGAGAAATGGGCAAAAAGAAATTAACTGTCATCCCATTTGTCTCTTGATGAACACAGAGAACAAATAACTGAAAAAAGTATCCTTTCTGTAGTATTATTTTATGTGTAAAGTTTTTTCCTAACATAAATATACAAAGTTTGTAAAATTATAATTTTCATGGTTTTAGATTTAGAACATAATGTTACAGAATAGAAAAGAAAAGTTCAAAAGTTTCATTAAATGTATTCTGAAAATGGGCTAAGACAAATTCCTCAAGTTTTAAAAAGAAAATTTTTCTTAAGTGTGTATTAGGTTTATTATTTTATTAGTCTCATTTCAATTAGATGTCTAAACACATTGGGTGGATCTCGCAGCTGAAGTTGTTGATGCTGAGAATCTCTTAAGCATTGTATTTTTACCCTCACTTTTTTTTTTTTTTTTTTTTTTTTTTAGATAAATATTTTTAAAATTATAAACCCTATCATTTTAAAATCATGGGACTTTTATTAATATTTTTTTCCAAGTATCCCAAACAAAATAATATTTTAGATTTAGAAATAAAACTGAGATTTTGGATATTACATTTTTAATGAACAAATTCCAAGTGCCAAAACTTTCTACTTATGGAATTTGAAATTAATAAAACTATTTGATATAACTAAAAAAATGTTATTGAGAAGCTTGTCGTTACTCACGTAATGCATGATGTCTGCTAGAACAATATATATCTGTTTCCAATTTTGTGGACAAAATGAAAAAACTGTGTGGAAGTATCATTATTTTACGAAATAGGGTCATTTTGGATTGTTCATATGGTAAATAAGTTATGCAGAATCTCTGCATGTCTGTTTTAATGGATGAACATGAGTAATGTAGTCAAGCTTTATTGTGATATAATGGTTGTATAATGCTGTAATAAAAGTTGTAATAATCTCCGTAATATTAAAGAAAAGATACATGTAATTATGTTGTTAGTAACATTGTAACAGTGACATTAAACATGATAGTCGGGAGTAATTTAAGTATACCGTAACCATCTGTTTTATTAATTATATGTATAATTCCTTTTCAGCTGATTAGGTGCTTGTTTTCAACTTTAATAATTATGTTGTCACACTCTATCTCTGTCAGTAAGTACAATTAGATAGCTGGATAGTACATTGTTTTATGTTTTCTGAGTGACATGCAATTATTTATTGTTAATAATTTTGAGTTACCTTAGACATCCAAAATGAAGATTCTATATGCCTAATATTACAATCATTAATATTTCTATTCATTTTAATGTTTGTTATATATATATTATATTCTATTCTATATAATTATTTTGTTTGACGTTGGGTAGAAGACCAGTGTCTTAGAAATTTGGATGTAAGGAATGAAGTGGAGTGCAAGCTTCATTTGATATTTTATTCCCCCCCTTTTTTTAAATATTAAAATCTTATAGTTTTCATCTTGCACTTTTAATTCATTGTTGTGTAAAAACATTAATTTGAAATTTATATGATATGAAAATGTATAAAAATTAATGAAAAGAAATAAAAATATAATTACTGATATACTATATTGTATGTACATTCTTATGGACTATTATGAAAAGCAAAGGTCAGTTTTTAGATTGTGTTCATATAATCCAAGCATATTTAAATTTGCTAGTGTGTTAATAAGCTTGAGTCACATTTGGATGCTTACGACTGAAGATTTATTAGTTGATAATTGTGATTCAGCAGTATCTGTTATAAAATTTATTTAGAGAAAACATATTAGCTTTTTAATGAAATACATTTTAAAATATGAGAGTTTTAAAACATTGTCTCTTTAAATTTTATATCTGTGTATGTGTACTTGTATGTGGGTATTTTTCTTTTCTCATGGTAATTCTTAAAATATTAATTACTACTATTTCTATTGTAGCATTTCTTTTCTGTACTTAACTGCAGTTATGTAACTATTATGCAGCTTCACTGCAAAATCTGTTTGCTGATATTTACATTATCATCTTGATATATTTCATATAACTTCTTGCTCATGTTATAAATTTTCCATTAGCACAAAAGGTTATCCATTGAATTGTTTTCATTATATGCACATCTGTAGAATCTGTTATTAAAGCATCTATGATTAGTTTATTAACTTAACATATTTTATTAAGAATTTCTTTTTAAGAAATTAAAAAACATGAGCAGTGCTTTGCTTCGATAAGCAGGTTAAGATTAATATTTTAGCTGCGTCTGAAAGATGAGAAGAGAAAACTATGGCATCTTATTAAAGGTAAAAATAATTGTAATAATCAAGATCAGTGGTATTCAAACATTATGGCAGTGTGACACCCACAAAAATGCAAACAGTCAAAAACGATTTTGCGACTGCTATCAGAGCATTGACCATTACTTATATTCTACAACTTATTGCTTGTTATATATATATATATATAAATAACTCAGATTTTAGGATTATTATATATATATATATATATATATATATATATATATAAACTCAGATTTTTATCCATCTTGCAACCCCAAACATAGTCATGACCCATAGTTTATATACCACTGGTCTGGAACATATAACTTATGACTGAGTGTAATATATATAGTTATAAATTGTTTTATCATTATATAAAAATATATGGTTAAAATGATGATAAAAAATCATTAATTATTATTAAATTTAATTAATTATTTATTCAATTAAACTTTGTTCATAAATTTAAATTGTTCCTGAAGGCTCTCTGTGATCCAAAGTGTTTGTAAATCAGAACTATGTTTCCATAGGAATTACTATAAAATGAGTTAATCTGTTCCTAGACCTGCTTATTCAGAATTTTCAACAGTACTTTGTGCACAAGGTCATAACATAAAATGAATATAAATCATTAAATCTAAGTTGAGAAAGACAAATTCAGTGCTAAACAAATATTATTTTATTATTTAGCACTTACTTTAATTTGACTTGTACTTACTTTGATTTTTACTTTAATTTGACTGTATCTGTACAAAGAAGAAAGGATAGCATAAAAACAATTAGGTACATGTCTTTCTGAGGCTTCATCTTTTATCCTTTCTTTGTCGCTTAGCATAATTTAACTGTGCTTAACCCCCATTTCTGTGAAAATTTGGACAACATGATTTGTTGTTGTTTATGTTTAAAAATATTTAGGTAAGATATGGCATTATCATAAAAAATTCTTGTGCTGTAGCTTGCTGCTATCATTACGTGAAACTTTGAACCTTTTCCGCTTTTATAAAAAATTTGTGGATCAAAGAAATAGATTCATTTTCCCTTCCTTCTTTCTTTGAAGGTCTTACCTCCATGACTGCCTTCTGTTTGTTATTGTTTCTGAAGTTGCCATGATTCTTTCTTACTGAGCTCATTTATATGGTCCTCTAATAATTCCTCTACATCTTCATTATCAACTTGTAAGCTCATAGGTTGCTTAGGCATGCCATAGCTATAGATAAGAAAATAAAACATCCTCCAAGCCCTCAATATCTCTGTTTGCAACAGAGTTTAGCATAATTTCCTGCAGGCGAATTCATGGTCCTGTTAGTCACTTGCTGTTAGGCTTTGTGAAGCGACAGAAATTATTAAAATGTTTCCAGACCTACCAAGGGTTAATTCTGTGGCACAAGTTATCTCAAAATGCATTTGAAAATTGTTAGTTTCTAACTTTTGGTTTTGAACGCAAGTCAGTGTTCGTCATCTGAGGTTTTCCCCCATGAACAGAATTGTTTAGGATCTTTGTTCCCACTGTATATAGATGTTTAAATGTGCATGTTTCATTTGTGAAAATTATGTACAGTAATTACCAGTGTCATTATATCTAGCAGCATTATGATGCCTATAACTATTGCATAATTAAAGCAGTCAATAGGTATATATGATGCCAATAATTCATTATAAAAAATATCTTTACAATTAACTCCTTTCTGTTATGTTGAAGAAGAATGCGCCTAAGATGATTTATATATAACTTTACTTGATTAGCCATAAAAGATTTGGAACAAATTATATGAAAAATTTATATTTTAACATTGTTGTGTAATTAGCAACTGTATCAATTAGTAGTTTTAAATTTTGCAACATTTTATTAATATGATTTAATTTAGAAAGCATAGTTTCTGATGAATATAGTTACCACTCTGATAGTAAATTTTTAATACTACAGTTTAATTTAAAGTACACTTATGCTTCAGAAGTTCCTCTTCAGTTTTTAAATTATACAATTTTAAATATAATTTATAGTATCTAACACATGTAGCTGTATTATTTTCTGAAATTCTTACTAAATTTTTTTTTGCATTTTGCCTAAATTTTTACATGATGTTGGTTTCACTGAAGAATGAAAGTGAAAATATTTTACCCTCACAATATTTATATTGTAAATAAATTATGTAGCTTTTATTAATTAAAAATTTTTATGTTGCATTCAACATTTTGAAATGTGAATTGTTGTATAACACTGAAGTCTTATACCATATGCAAATAAATTAAATATCTTCAAAATCTTAAAGTTCCGAATAATTAACTAAAAAATTTCCATTGTTAGTTTTAAGTGATAAAGTAAATACTGTTTAGTATGGAATTATTTTAGATTTTATGGGATTATTCAAACGAATTTTTGAACTAAAATAGGATCTTTTTCCCACTGAATTATGTCTATGATAGGAATAATTTCTGAATTTCTGCAGTTGGTTTCAGCTAGTAGTACTTGTATTCTTTGCTCAGTTTATCTATATGTAAGTTTCTGTACTGATTGTACTCAATTAGTCTTATATAAGTATTCACTATCAAGATTTGCTTTAGACATGACACTGTATGTTGCATTATATTGTTTCGAGATTATTGCAGTTTTGATAAAGTAATTGTTTTTATCTAGATTATTTTTTCTGTGAATTTTTCTATTAAATATTAAAATCCCATATTGTTTTGTTTTGTAAGTATAATTGTGGGAAATAATTTTCTAGTTTGTAAGTGATACAATTTCTTCAGTGTTATCTTTTTAATGTTAGCTTGTTTTAAAAGAGCATTACCTGTTATACTTTTCAGAGAAACTTACCTGCAGATTTTATATAATTTTAGTGTAACGTACTTGTTATGATAACATGATTGTTGAATGTCATTCCAAAAATTGTAAAATTAATTCACGTTTAACATTTCTTAAATAGCCTTATCAATTTTTTCCCATTTATTTATTTTACAATCTTCATTTTTATGCCTTTTCAACTGAATGAAATATCATTAAATGTAGGTTTTCGGGGAAAAAAGAGGCTTCTAATATTTCAAAAATTTCTTTAAAGCAGTATCTTTAGTGAAAATAAAAGGCATTGCCCTACTAAGAGCTATAGCAAGGCTGTAATGTTTACCATTCAACTGTATTTTACCTTTAGATAAATAACTCATGAAAGAGAAAGTTTATGTGTGGATATTACTATGAAAGTGCTATAAGCTTATTCTATTTAATCTTTGCTATCATTTCTGGTTTAAAAATAATATGATGCCATTTGAAAAGAACTGCATTACAATAACAATAACGAAGTTTTGAGATATTTTCTAAATTCACCCTTTAAATTAATTGATGTAATTACATAGATATAAGAATTTAGCCTCACCCAAATGAAGCTTTCCAGATGTAAACCTGAATAGTAAGATAAACTGGTGACACATAATCGTTTTTAGATTGAAGGCATTTGACATCTAGTTTAAGGTATCTGTTAATTTTAACCTTTTCGTCACAATCTTCAGATATATCATAATGAACATTTTAATTTGTATATCTGAATGTTATTCTGCAAGCTTAATCAGCTGTCTTGAGTTAAATCAATTTAATTTAAAAATGCATTTTTTAATTTAAAATTTGATTAGTTGAGTAGTTCAGTTTTAAATATCTTATGCATGTACAAATTGATAATAATTCTTAAATTTTTTCCACTTTATAATAACATTAAAGAAAGAAATCATTTGAAATTTTAAGTCTATTTTATGAATCATGGTTGAGTGTTCAAGGCAGGTAGTGGTTATTATTTAATTATTTACATAAGTTAAATATTATTACATCAGTTATTACTTGATTATAGTTTTTATATTCCTTTTTTTCAATAAAATATCCATGTAGTCAGCATATTAATTTTAATCCATTTAAATTTTCGTGTTAATTTCTGTATCAGTCTTTCTATTTTTAGATTAATTTTTTTTCCATAGTACTTGAACTTTTTAGTAATGCTTAGTTCCTGGATTAATTACTGAATCTTTTTAGGGCCTTTATTCATGCAACCTTAGTTAAAAAACTTGACAAGCAAAAGTAAATTTTGTGTTGTTGCCACATCTAAGCTAGGCATTGGTCACATGTTTGTGACTTGTATCGACATTTATAAGCTTCTGGTATTAGTGTATGAAGGCAGTTTCTTTGCTTGTCTGATTATCTAGTTTTTTGGAAAACCCATGGAGATAAGAAAGGAAGGAGTGGCCAGCTCGGCAGTAAGAGTGAAGCACTGCTTCGAAGCTTCAGTCTCTAGATGGGGTGTTTTTTATTTACATTCAGAAGCTTACTTGACAGTGCTTTGATAGTATTTCGACACACTATAGTTCCATACAAATCGAAAAATGGACATTTCCGCATGAAAGAAACATTTATTGTGTGATAGATAATAGCAATTTACGTTTGGTGACAGTTACACAAAAATTACATCTTGGTTATTTTTTGAGAACTAACAGCAACAATTTTGATTATTAATTTGTTTTATAAAATTCTAAGCTGTTGAACTACAGAAATATAGATTTTAGCAAAAATCTTATGCTTAAAGAATGAAAAATACTTTATGGAACCTTTAAAATTGTATACGTCTTTCGATACCCTTTATAAAGTATTCGTTACTTTTAGTTTTCCAAATGCCAAAATGTTTTAAATAAAATAATTTTTTGTCATCCACATAATATTGTGACGTACTTTTTAAAAATTTGTAGAGGAGAGAGGCTTTATAGTTGCTCATTTTAAACTTATCATTTTATTTTTATATAACTTAAAGATAATCACTTTGGATTTACATGTTTTACTTATTTGCATTAATTAAAAAATAAAATTACCACCAAATGCCACAATCCTCATCAAAATTAATAAATATACATGCAGATATGCCAATAAGTAAGCTTTTTTTTAATTTATAACCACCCATTTGTGTAAAATTATGTGAAGTTTTACACAAATATATGAAACAGAAGACGGATACATTTGTGAATTCGGCGGAAGTACAATGTGCAGTCAAGATGATGTGAACATGCCACATCATCAAGACAGCATATTAAAAATTTGAAAATAGGGTAATTGGACGGAGGTGAAAATATTTGTGTATCCTGTAACTTTAACATTGAATTAAAACATAAATTGAAATCGTGTTGATAAATATGTTATAAAACTATTTAAGCAAGAATTGTTCATACTGGAAAGCAATCTGTTAAAAGATATTGTAAAGGGAATTCTATGAGATGCGTACTTAAGAAAGTAATAAAGAAGAGTTCTAGAATATATATTGTTGAAATTAAGGGTAAAAAAAATCTGATAAGTATAATTAAAAGAATTATTCCCCATACATTTTATAAGAACTCAGTTACAAGTTCTAAATAATATTTTTTAAAAATTATTTTTTCTTTCCATTCAGAAATGTTCAGAGAAAGTTAAATACTATTTAACGCATTTCGCTATTAAAATAAAAGGTGCTGTAATTTGAAATGGACCAATTAGAGCATTAATTATAAATTGACTTAAATTTTTTTATTTAAAAGATGCCTCAGAAGCTAAAAAATCATTCATATTGAGAAGTATTTAGGAAGAAGCTCTATAAATAGAAAGGAAATAATGCATAATTTTAATATTAATAATACAATAAACTTTGATCTCAATTGTTGTAATCTAATCTTTAACCAAATAAAATCGAATTACCTTAAATTTTTTTTCTAATTTAATTAAGGAAAACTTGTGAAAATATTTCATTCAAATTAAACCATTCTAATACTTTAACATTTTTTTCTAGTTTAATTAAGGAAAACTTGTGAAAATATTTCATTCAAATTAAACCATTCTGAGCAAACTGTTCTGTGAAAAGTATAGCATTTAATTCCATTCAGATTGAGATGTTGTTTAAAAATGTATTCTTTTCATATACTTAGGACTCTGAAATATTGTAGAAAAAGATAATATGCATTTATATGTATATTTGTGACATAATTACAAAATATTTACATCCGATCGTATCAAAACCCATTGAACTTAATGGAAAAACGACCTAGTGTTTTGGTCACCACAAAGGGATTGCCAGTTCTTCAAAGCAGTGTATGGGGAAAACCGGTTAGGACCACTACATCTTACTTCCTAGCTCCATGGGAAAACCAAGTAAAATTATGGCAACCCATCTCACCTCCTGCGTTTATTTCAGCTGCATTGGCATAATAATCAGAAAATTTAAGGATTTATCATAAAGTGATAACTGTAAGATAGGCTTCTTATGCTTAAGAAAATACTCATTCTTTAATTTTTAGAACTCTTTAACGGCATTTTCATAAATTATTTACATTGATTTCCTATTTGTTTTTAAACATCTAATTTTAAAGTCCAAAATTTTTAAATGTAAGAAATTTGTCATTCTATGATTGTTAAGATATTCATTTTTGTTCTGCTGTTTCTTCCTCTAAGTATCTTAACAAAGCATAAACAAGGTAATTTAATTTAAAGTTTATATAATAATTTCCCTTAAATTTATTTTGATTTGTCTTTTGACATTTATAGATTATAAAAAGTTATTTTAACTATTATATGAGTTATATTTTATGTGAATTTTGAATCTGTCTGAAATGTAAGGAAAAGAATATATATTATAGAAATTCATATTGTATGAAAAAAAGTCAATAATAAAGAATGTTATTTGTAGTGAATTAAACTTTTTCAGAAAGTAGTTTCTACATCAGCTCTCTGGTTACTAGAATATGTATGCTTTCTATTATTCTTGTATGTACAGATCTGTTGAAGATGAGTATTGGAACCAATATTATGAGTTAACTGTTTTTATGACTATAAAAATTACAGTTAATGTTAATTCCACAATTATGCTCAAAGTAACATCTATGGGGTATATGTATGCCAAGTAAATAAATTAGTCTTTTTTTTTTTTAATGTTATTTATTTTATTTTTGAAATATTTTCATATTATATAACAGTTGTTTCAAAAAAAGTGCATCAGTGTGTTCTAGTTATATCTGAGGGCACAACTTTATTTGAAGACATTTTGAGAGAATTTAGGAGAGTTTAAGGTATTGTAACACTGTGTGTCCAGTATTTTGAATATGTATATAATGTATAAAAAGTTATTAAGTTTAAAATGTATATTAATACCTTTGTAAATTTTTATCAATGTAATTGTGTTAAATGATAATTACTATGACTAGTGACATTAAAAATTATTATCTGATTATGTGATTGTTGTAATTGAGAAATGTGTCATATTTATTAATTTTATCAACTAACTTAGGAGACAAACAAAAGCTTACAGAATCAAAAAGTTAAAAGAAAAGAAATTATCTTCTTAATGTTGATGTGATATCATTTTAAAAGGAATGGCCACAGCTTTTCATAAATTAGTTTTTAAACTCTTATGGTGGGGGACTATAAAATTTGTTTTTGTTATTTCCTCAGTTCGTATATATTATAATAGTATTTTGTTATTTTTATTTTTATGTGATAAAATGCACAACATTCACACATTCAGTAAAATAATTTTGAGGCCTCTATCATTAATATTACCAAAGTACCATATATATTATTAGTTATTCCTTATTTTTTCTAGGATTAGTGATGAGTTTTGCATTAAAATAAGCTCCAGAAAAAAATGTAATATAATTTTTATATAATTGGCTTATAGTCAAACTAACTGGCATTTTTTAAAGCACAGTACAAAACTTTGTACACACCATGCCCACAAAAAGTCGGTAACCGGCCTTGTTTTTCCATTTACAAAAATATGCAAATTTCCATGTTTTGGTATTTTAAAATATTTTATAAAAATTATGTAACTTTTATATGCTTCCTCTATTCTGTAGTAATATTTAAAAAAATTTTGTATGGACTGTAAAATTTAAAAGGCAAAAAGATGCGATTCCCATCCCCCCCAATCAAACTATTTCATTTTAAAGTTGGAGATTATATTCAGGGGCTGTGAACATTTACATGTGTACATTTTACTTAAAGTAATGAAATGTCAGTTTAGAAAAGGTTTCTGATTAGCTTTTTTATGCAGATTGTCATAAAAGAATTGATCCAATATTTTTTTTCAAAATGCATATATTCACAGAATCTTATTTTGTGTTTCAGAAAACACTAGCAATCTTCAGTATTGTCACATAGCCAACTCATAACATTATTTGCTTAAATTAAAAATGAGAAATATTTCTAGTTTAGTGATTTTTTATGATTCTCAAGTAATAAAATTTGAAGATCCAAATTAAGCGATTTATGTCAATTTCTTCTATACACAATGAATCTGCTAGTGCATTACTAAATTTAGTTGATATTACCTTTGAATGTACTAGAGCGTTAGCAATTTTAGAACACAAAATTGATGGGTTTGCTGATACAATGTTTGTGTATGTTTTGTTACAAAAATTAGACGCTTCAACAAAATTATGGTTTGAACGCGAATTTTGGTAAGAAAAATAATGTTCCCAAATTGAATGACTTAATTGAATTTTAAAAAATCATGCAAGAACCTTAGAAGCGTCTAGAGTTTCTAATTAACGAACCAAAAGCATTCTTCTAAAGGTATTGTATTGTTAACTAATGTTAAATCATCTAAGTGTAGTTTCTGTTTGAATAATCATATTATACATAAATGTCCTAAATTTCAAGATATATCAGTGAATGATAGGGTTGAATTTCTAAAAAATCAAGAATTGTGTTTTAACTGCTTTTTAAACCATAGAGTAAAGCAATGTTCTTCAAAATTTTCGTGTGCTTAAGTGCGGTAAAAAAAACATAACACCCCGATTCACTTTGAGAAAAGACAGAAAGAATTCATCCCATGGTGCACATTCTCAAAAAGCATCTTTCGCCCCAAATAATGTTAGTGAAATAAATAATTCAAGCGAATTAAATCCGAACGCGATTAGTTTCAAAACCAAAAATGCGACTCCCTCCATAAAACAGTCATTTGTCAGAACCAGTTATGAATGTGAACATAAATCCTTCTCGGCGCCAGAGCAAGGTTTCCTTCCCCAAGGTCGGAAAACTTACGTGTTTTTGTCTACTGCTGTGATTTAGTTTCGAATGGGAAACGAAGAAATAATAAACATTTTAGCAATTCTTGACGCAGGCAGTCAAAATCAGCCTAATTCGAAAGGAAATTGCGGATATGTTACAATAAAAAAACAAGCAATAAATGCTCCTATATCTGGCCTGAATAATTCGATTCTAACTGTTAAAAGAAGCTAGTAACATCGGTGGAAAATTTCGAATGGAGACTTTAAAAGAAATGTTGAATTTTTAATTGTAGGTAATATTACTGATCTTACTCTTTCGAAACAATTGGATGTTAAGAAAATTTGTTTTCCAATAAATATTTGTTATGCTGACCCAAATTTTTATAGACCAACGATGATTGATGCTCTTCTGGGAGGAGATATATTTTATCTGCTGCCTCAAACCAAATCAAATAAAATTACAAGAGGAATCTATCGTATTGCAAGAGACAGTGTTTGGTTGGGTAGTAAGTGGGTCTATGAATTTAAGTAAACAGAAGAGTTATCATTGCGGATTAGTAAACAATTTCGAAGATTTAGATAATCAGTTAGCGAACTTCTGGGAGTTAGAATCTCTTGGTATAAAAGGTACCGAATTGAGAAATGAGGAAGGTAAGGCCCTAAAGATGTTCACTAAAGCAAGTATGTTTTAAAGACTGACGATATGAGCTTGGGTTACCTTGGAAGAGAAATTGGGAGGAACATAAAGACAATTATGATATTGCAAAAAATCGACTTGCAAACCTTGTTAAGAGAATAAAACGTGATAATTCCCTGTATTTAGAGTACTGTGATATCTTGAATAATTATTTGAGTGAGGGAATTATTGAGAAAGTGCTGAGCCCAGTTTAAGGAAGTGAATAAACATCTATATTACATACTCCACCATGCAGTTGTAAAACAAGCTTAACTACTAAAGTAAGGATTGTTTTTGATGGAAGTTTGCATGAACCAGGACAATTATCTCTAAATTATTGTTTATATCAAGGAGTTAATTTAAACCCAAATATATTTCATTTATAGACATTTTTTGCTTGAACAAGATCGCCTTCTTGGCAGATATAGAGAAGGCTTTCTTGCAAATTTCTTTACGTGAAAAGAGTCAGAGACGCAGTGAGATTTCTTTTCATTGACCATATGAATAATGTATGTGTATATAAATTCAAAAGGATAATTTTTGAGTAAATGCTAGTCCCTTTTTATTGGCAGTAACTATTAAAAACCATACAGAAAGGACTTCTTCTATAATTTTCGCTCCTGCTACAGTACAAACACTTGATACCTGTTTTCATGTAGATGACCTTATTACAGGTAATGACATTCCATCTGCCTTTGAAATTTCTAAAGGTGCCGAAAAATTAATGAGAGATGCTGGGATGCCCTTAAGGAAGTGGATTTGAAATTCTGAAAGGTTAATAAAGGAGTGGAAAGCTGTAGGATTTAAGCAGTTACGCCCA